GTTCAAAAAAAAAAAAAAAAAAAAAAATAATAATAATAATAATAATAATAATATAACAATTTATTTAAATAAAGTGCAATTAATTATTGGTATTATATAAAAGTAAGTAATTTTCTATAAATAAAAAATAATAATAATAATGCATAAAAACATAAAAACACAAAGACAAAGTTAGATATACCAACCAACATTGTAAAGAAAACATTTTCAAGACACAGATTTCCTCCATGTCTTAGTGGGCGTCCTACGTTTGACCAACTTTGTTTTAATATCCACCGGCGTCTGCCTCCCGAACCCGGCGTCCTCCTCCTCCACGACTTCGCCGCCGTCGTCCACCCTCTCCGACTCACCGCCATTCTTAAACCCAAACTTCCTCCACTTGAAAAAGCCTCTCTTCTTTTCCGAGAGCCTCTCCATTTGGACCTGCATAATATTGCACTGGTTCTGCAGCCTCAACACCGTCTCTTTCAGCTTCTTAATCTCCATTTGTTGGGCCGTTATTTCTCTCTTGGATTGGCACCTGGCGGGCAGGTGGTCGAGGGCGGCGGAGGGACTCCTGCCCCCGATTGAGCCGCTCCAGTCGAGGTGGCGGTAGTTGAGCTTGGTTTGCTCGGAGAAGAGGACTTGGATTACGGCGCGGACTGGGAGGCGATCGTTTTGGGCGGCGTGGAGTGATGCTTCTGTGGACAGCTTTCGGCTGTCCATTAGTCTGCATAAACTCTTTCTTTCTTGCTTTGATATATTCGGATGTGTCTATAAATAAATAAATAATTCATAATAATCATTTAACCTTATAAATAATTTACTAACTAAAAAAATTATTATTGGTGTATCATAAATTAGTTTGGACTCTCTTAGTCCTATTTTTTCAACCGTGCGGCGTCGTCATCTTGACGCGCTCACAACAACTCTTAAGGGGAATCAAGCTCCATACATATATTTTTGCTCCCACTTTGTGGCTTTTATCGGATTTTAGGCGAGGTTTGTCTTTGCCTACTGAACATTGCTTGTGCAGAATTCAAGCTTGTTCGACCACACATGTCGCTCATCTCATCGGGACATCCCGAACATTCATCCATCAGGGTTCCATCGAAGTATTGACCCTCCTGTGCCCATGTCATATCATTTACAAATACCGTACCGAATAACGGGTGTATATATCAACATCCGACACACAGGTTAGGGCGTAATACCGACACACCCGTGCCACCCTGGTACTCTCCTTGGAAAACCCATTAGAAACGAAGTCACCCGAGACACTCGTATCAGCACGCTCGCCCACGTTGTGACACGTATGTGCCACAGAGTAGCTCACTTAGGCTATAAGTTTGAGAATCTCGTCTATGGCCATGTTTAGCTAACGAAAATTTTCTTTTCTCTCTTATTCTCCATTTAAACGTGAATTCTTTATTCCATTGAAGATGAATATTCACAAAAATTGACTCTGAGTTAAATGGACACGAGCGAGAACGACCAAAACAAAAAGAAAACAACAAATTAACTTTTTGCCTCTCTCTCTCTTCTGCCCACAATATACAGTAATAACTAATGAGACAAACTGCTTTTCATGGGAGAATCTTTTCCTTTTTCTTTTCTATTTTAAAACCAAATAATTTTTCATCCTTTTGTTGTTTATCTTTAAATTTATATTTTATTTGATTTTTTATTTATTTATTTATATCATGTTTTATAATTTATAATTTTTTATTTTTAAAAATGATCAGTATTTAGTTCAATTAATGGCATAATCAAAACTAAAACAGGAAGAAGAAGCCTTACTTTGAGATACGTATCAATGGCTCGGTACAGTCCGTCGTCGGAGGCTCGGGCGTGACTGGGAAGTACTCCGGCGAGCTCAACAAACTCCAGCAATCCCAAATTAGAATCCATCGCCGCTTCAGCAAGGTAACAATCCACCAATTTCGCCACCTTAACCAAGGCGGCGCCGCTCCTAACGCCGTCGTCCAAGCTAACAAACCTCTTCACAAGTCGAATCACAAGCTCCACATCCAAAACCGTCCCACACGTGTGACTAAATGACGGAATCATCACCTCCTTCAACGACGCCTGATCCAACTGCCACGTAATCCTCTTCTCCAACTCCGCCTTATACGGAGGCTCCACTCCCACCATATTCGCCGTCCGGAGAAGCCTCAGCAAAAAATTACACGGAATCAAATCCCTTTCCGGCGGCAAAACTCCGACCAATGTCTCCACGAAGAACTTCTTTTTCATCCACGAATTCGTCACATTCTGCGGCGATTCGTTGAAATTCGTTAAATCAATCCCCTTTTGTTGATCTAGGGCTTCGTCGGAGAGATCCGGAAGCCATTTGGAAGCGTAATGCGTTATGACAGAGCCGATTAAATCGGTTCGAACGCCTTTGGCCTTGATTCCGGCGAGGGTTTTGACGAAGTAATCGATGTCGAGAATGGCGGAATCGTGAAACCAGTAGCATTGGTCGGGGGAAAGTTTGCCGGAATCCTGCGGCGGAGATTGGTGCTTCATTGTGGGAATTGGGGAGAAGAATGGTGAAAACAGAGTGGAGCAGAGCAGGTGATAAGAGGAGAAAAAGAAGACAAAGGTTATTAATGCAAAATATGCGCATCCAATTCGACAGTTCATGCCCTCCAAATTTATACTCTCCAGTTTATATGTAGCCAAATGTTTTTATTATTACACTGCACCACTATTTGAAAAGGACTGCGAATGGGTTTAATTTTTTGTTTATTTTATTTTATTTGAATTTCTCTAATTTAATCCCTAAATTACATACTTTAAAGCTCATATATTAAACCCGTTTTCTATAGTTAAAGTAGGTTATACATTAAAAATAGGACCGTTCTTATGACTTGATAATCTAACCAAATCCTACTCGGGTAGATTTTTTTTTTTTTTTTTTTTGTTTAAAAGATTTTTTTAAAATTCAACGGAATTCAATATATTGATGGAAGAAGGAGAAAAATAAAATAAAATTGGAAACGAACAAAATAATACTAATGAAAAAATGGAAAATCTTTGTTTGGGATTGGAATAGGAAGATCTGGAAGAGAGTTGAGACGAAATTGTATGCCCTAAATGGACAAACATGTGATCCTGTGTGACGCAAGGATACTGAAAGCAATCCAAGTGACGAAATCGTGGGGTGACAGGCCAACCACTTGTATAATTTGCACAGATTGTTCAATGAAGCGAATAATTTTCCAAAGTGGGGAGGCTATGTAGGGTAATCAGAGGCGTTAGTGTTATCGTGATGGAATCTAGGGATCAGGGGATTGTGTAGGTATGATGCAGCGGATAAAATCCTGAGCATCGTACGGTGCAATGCAACACGTGAAAGCCAAGCAAATTGTAACGTCGGGATCAACCTCGGGTTTCGCTGTTACCTATTGGAGCTCAGATTGAGGTGGCAAGAATGTTTTTTTCTTTTATTTTCTTTTTAATTATTAATTTTGTCAAAATAAAGATTATTTTAATAATTCGTTAAATTACCTAAGCCCACTTCAACATGGGCCGTATTGAATCAGCTGAGCCCAATATCTTTTTAGTGAAATCATTCTACCTAAAAGATTCGTGGAGTAACGAGAAATGGGTTAGTCCATTCCGCTAACGTTGGGGTTAAAAATTCACCTTGTGACTCATTTCTTCGATCGAGCGTTTTTATCACATCGATCAATCTATCATAGCTCACTCTGTCCTTGTCTGATTTTTTGTTGGTCACAAAAGAAATTATGTATCTACTTATCATCTTCTTGTCCCGTGATTCCGTAGTTGGCTTTTTTAGACCTTTCTAGAATGTTGAATAGTCGAAAGGTTCGAAAGGTTCGAAAGACAATAATATATATATATATATTATTAACTTTTTTGGTTATTTTATTTATTAGTTTATGTTTGGTTTTCTCCCTCTTATTGGAAAGGACCATTATATGACTTTCCACCACAATATCATCTCATTTTACTTCCTTTTCAAGGATAGCATCATACAATTTCGTGTACTTATTATTTAAACATCTCCTTTTTTTTTTTTAATTAACAAATAATTCATTAAAAAAATCTAGTTTATCGTTTGATCAAAAAAAGTGTTCGGTTATGAAGCCGAATGCTTATTTATAGCTTAGTCAACAGTTATACATAATAAATCTATATATATAGTCGATAGTTATAATAATAGATGATTATATCTGATAAAACTATACCTAGGAAGTTGAATCATATATATATCCTCTCAAACAAACATTTAAAAATGTACTCTCTGTATTCTTCTGAAGTTATTAATACAAATCTTTTAGCGTTCTCCTTGTATTTTCTCTCTCATATTATCTATGTTAATCTAAATCAAGTGTGCGTTGTTGTGCAATTCTAACACATAGTTTAGCTAATCGATACATTATAAAAATGATAATTAGAAATAAATAATTATAATATTTTAATTTTGAACAAAATAATGTAAAAGAATTAAAACCCCCCATCAATTTTTTGTTATTTTTCATCGGATAACGTTCGAAAAATACAGTTTTCAACGGCTAAATGGAATTATCTTCGAATTCAAATATTTAATTTAATTAATGTCCCAACATTCAAACCCCTTTAATTCAAACCTTTTTTTTAAAAAAAATGTTTTAAATTTTTTTATAAATTATGTTATGGGCTTAATTAGTTTATAATCTGATTAGAAAATTGTTAATAAACAAGCATAATTTAAAACAAATTAAAATTATACTAAAAAAAAATAAAAACTATTTTTCTTCTGGAAATTTTATATTTTAATTAAAATAATTGAGTGAAGTAAAATGTTAGAGAAATAAAAACTTGAGGGACCATTGTACAAATTATGCAAACCCTACAACGCCAACATACAACAACTAGCCTGCACATCCACCTTTTCCAAACCCTACCACCAAATTTTTATTATTTTACCTTCTCGTTCACAAAGTTACCCTCTAAATTTTACACATTACGTTAAAATTTACGGTTAGATAACGTTTATTTAGGTACCAACATGCTAATGGGTTGCATTACTTAATTACGATTCATTCCATTTTTAAGTTTATTTATTGAAATAACGACATCATCGAGCCTTATAGATGTTTGTGTGGGTGATTTTGATTGGTCATAAATGATCTTCACTACGATCATGTGGGTAGTCTCAATCTTTCTTAACAAATGTCGACTTTGACATGTTCTAAGTCGTTATATACTTAGTCAAGTAGATATTTGATGAACATGATGATCAAACAATCAAATACTTTGTTATTATATCGTTTAAACTTAATCAATAAAATATAAAGAATCAGAATGGTCAGATAGATTAGACGAGACAAAGATGAGAAAGAAAATCATATTTTATTCCCGAACAAAGAATCGCAATTGGAGATATTTAAACATGAGGTCCTATATGAAATCAACCGCTAATATTTAAAGTAATCAGATGAAATAGAAAAGGTTGGTAGCTTTTGATAGACGTGTTTGTCTGAATTTCTTGAGCGTACGGAAACAACAAAGTCAGGAGAGTGTCGTATATTTATAAGTAAAGAGCAATATACGAGTAGAGTTTAAATTCTAATGTCAAGTTCAAGATGGTTTGCTACGTACGTAACAAAAGAAAGGTTATCCCAATCCTTTATTAGTTTTTGGTTTAGAATCATTCGAGAGATGTTTGTTCTTTTCTTGTTTTTATTAGAAACATCTCAACGACAAATCATATTTTAGAATCATTCGAGAGAAGAGATGGTTTTTAAAGTTGTGTTTAATAGGTCCATAATTTATAAACGTGTCTCCAAACATATTTTAGAGGGAAGCATGGTATCAACTCTCCACCACCCTTGAGTTTCATAGCCTAACGAACTATTGCGTAGTACATATGTATGTCACAATGAAAGTAAGCATTGCAAGACGAACACCTCATAGGACTTCCTCTAAATTGGGCCTTTCAAGAACCGTATAGAAGACGGCACGGATGCGACCGCACGTGTGTATATATATATATAATATGGAAAATATATTTTTTTAATTACCCAATTAATTTATAATCCCCAACATAAATATTATTATTATTGTTGTTGTTGATTTTAGAAAAAAAAACAAAGGGTTATTTAATTTAAATTAAGTCAATAATTGAGAAAACTCAATCCTTTTTGCCAGAAATTAGATCCTTATCTGTGAATCTTGCTTTGAAATTTTGTTCTCAGCCACCCCAAGATATTGTTAATTATTCATTTTTTTATTTCCATAGACTTCTCTCCCTAATATTCTTTTTTATTTATTATTTAAATTACATGAAATTAAAACTATATAATAAAAATTAATATCTTTTCAAAACTATATTAAAGAATCCAATGTTGACTGTAAATAATGTGTAGACCAAAAAGTTTGTATTTTTACATTACCCAATTTAGAACCCATTTATTTATGCCTCATAAATTATTATTTTCCTAACAGAAGTGCCATTTATTGGGCGTTATAAATTTAATTACATTATTAATAATCAAGGGCCCACTTTCCAATTTGTGAAAAAAGGGGGGGTATTTTAGCAAAATGGAAATTTTGTGCCAGGTCCGCAACAGGGTGTGCTCTGGATTTATTACTTTTTTATTTAATAATTTAAACAGATTTTTTTTTTTTTCTTTTTCTCACGATGCTTACGAAGAATCCCTAATTTTGAATATTATTTTTTATTCAAAAAATTAATATTTTATTCATTAAGTTCAGAGATTAAAAGATATATATATTATAAAAGAGACGAAGGAAAAACAGAGAGTTGAAATTCAAAATTGAACATCATTCTGAAAACGGCCAGAAAGAAAAGGGAAAGGCTCTCTGATTTCAAAGCTCCATTAATCCATTGATCAACCCGTTTTAAGCCCTACCAATTGTTGTTCATCTATGGCGTTCTTATTGGCTTTCACCCAATTTTTCTGGCTTCTTTAAGATTCTAATCTTTCCCTCCTCCTTTAAGTCGCCGCCGGGAATGGCCGATAAGTCGCCGCCTGCAGAGGGGTTCTTAATTTTGCCGCTGCCGGCTAGGGTTTCACTGTGTTCTCCGAATCCGACATAGGTTTTTGTTTTTTGTTGGGATTTGTCGGATCAATCGGAGGCGATTTTGGAGCATTTTAGGGTTGTTGGTTTCGTAATATTTTGAGGGGTTTCGTCAATTTTGATGGCGAAGGGTGGGTTTTTTGTTGATAAGTTTCGGAGATGTTTAAGGACGTTGTTCTTTATGGTGGCGATGTTGGCGTCACTACTCGTGTCGTCGTTGCCAGTTCTTGTAGCCATTGGAGACATGTTGGTGCCCTGTATTTTGATCTCGAGCTTTACTTGTGTTAGATGCTATGGCTTCAAACAACATTTGCGTCGATACGCTTTCAAAAGTTCTTTGACCGATATCCCTTTCGTTTCGATGATCAGATCTCTCATTATTATCTGTATGATCCCGATTTCCATCACATCTATCATTTTCCCCTCAATTCACATACTGGGTCGTTGTGAAATTAGATAAATTATGGAGGATTATGCGTTAATTTGATTGTGATCATCTGGGTGTCAATCGTTTCTCCTTGTTTTTGATTGTAGGTGTTTATTCAATGTGTGATGGACCTGCTCTTTCAAATGGTCCTTACCTTGGAACAGTGACTTTGTGTTCCTTCATATCCATTCTTGTTCTTTCTATCAAGGTTTGTGTCTTTACAGTGAACTCCCAAATGGAGGCTGAAGCTTCATCTTCACCTTCTAGGCAGAGGCTTCACTTAAAGAAATCATGGGGGATGCCAGTTTTGTTTCTATCTTCAGTAGCCTTTGCCCTCGGCCATACGGTTGTGGCATACAGAACAAGCTGCAGAGCACGTAGAAAGCTTCTATTGCATCGAGTTGACCCAGAAGCTGTAAGTTTTTAAGTCCTTAAACTACACAAAGAACAGGCCTATTGGTTCCTTATAAACAATCCTATTTGACTTGGCTGGCAGGTTCTTTCTTGCAAAAATGTGTTCTCTGGCTACCAGAAGATCCCTCGATCTCCCACTCCTTCTGGATCGAAAACACCAAAAAGTGACAGTGAAATCAAGTGGAAAGTTTCAGGTAATTCCCGGGATGAGAGTGAACTGCCGGTTAGATTACTTGCTGATATGGATAGTTTGTTCATCATATGTCAAGGGCTTACTATTCATTACAAGATCAGCTTGCCTGGGTCACCACCGCGGTCGTTGTCCTCCACTGCATTTCTTGAACCCAATTATAGTTGCATCTCTCCAAGGAAGGCCATGGGGAGGCTAGTAGTTGATATGCATCCATTTACTGTCTTATCAAAAAACCAACACAACATCCATAGGAGCTATAGCAATCAGTTTCACGGTTCATCTCTGTATGATCCACTATTGGATGGTTCTTCCACAACTTCTCCTATTCTTTGTGATGAGATTCCTGTGATTAGTCTAGATGATGTTGAAGAAGAGGAATTGAGCAAATGTTGCTTAGATGGAAACTTAGAGAGTAATGGGCAATTCGGTATCGTCTTGGTGCACGGTTTCGGGGGTGGAGTTTTCTCATGGAGACATGTGATGGGGGTGCTTGCAAGGCAGACTGGTTGCAGAGTTGCAGCTTATGATCGGCCTGGTTGGGGATTAACTTCAAGGCTTCGTGCAGAAGACTGGGAAGAAAGACAATTGCCTAATCCCTACAAGCTTGATAGTCAGGTAACCAAAATCATACATTCTTCTTTTTCGTTGTAGATCTGTTGCGCTAGTGCTGATTGATTTGGTTCTCTGAATGTTTCTTTCTGGTAGAGCTGTAGAGCTACTGCATGTGATTGTGCTAATGTTTCTTTGTGTAACTTAAGTCAAATTTTGTGTTCATACTCCATTAAAAGACTTGGAAATAGTTAGCAAGAACAAATTCATTTGGAAATCCAACAGATTTGACTACTACCAAATACTTGTGCGTATGAACATTTATTGACAAGGTAAATGAAGAAAAGATGGTGCTCGTGTCGGGGTTGCATGGAGCGGAGTCGTTTTGAAGTATATGTGCTATTGGTTTGAATGGAATGGTATTGAATGGTTTTTTCAGGTGGAGTTACTGCTTGCATTTTGCTCAGAAATGGGGTTTTCTTCAGTGGTGCTAGTGGGTCACGACGACGGAGGACTGCTTGCTCTTAAGTCTGCACAAAGGCTTCAAGAATCACCAATAAACTCATTCAATGTAAGATTTCATTGGTGGGGTTTTTGATAAAATGATGTAAATTAACTGTTTGGGGGGTTATTGCTTAATTCTTCTTGGCGTTTGTGAATGGGAACTGTGATATTATGGGCAGGTTTCCATCAAAGGGGTGGTATTGCTGAGTGTGAGCTTATCAAGAGAAGTGGTTCCTGGGTTTGCAAGAATTTTGCTAAGAACATCACTAGGGAAGAAGCACCTGGTTCGGCCTCTGCTACGAACGGAAATAACTCAAGTCGTGAACCGACGTGCTTGGTACGATGCTACCAAGCTAACAACCGAGGTCTTAAATCTCTATAAGGTAACATCATTTTATTAAGATCACTTTGATCTTCATATTGTCTTAAAAGGTAAAATCTTCAAGTTAGTTTTAGAAACTGCTAACATGTGTACCCTTCTGAATGGAAGCAGAAGGCGTTATGTGTGGAAGGGTGGGATGAAGCACTGCATGAGATAGCAAGATTATCATACGAGACATTACTTACTCCTCAAAACGTCGAAGCTTTGGTGAAGTCTGTTGAAGAGATGCCCGTGCTGGTGGTCGGTGGTGTTGAGGATGCTCTCGTCTCCCTCAACTCTTCCCGAGTTATGGCTTCCAAACTCCCTAATTCAGTATGTCTTCTTCACTCTCGTCCCTCTATACTCAGTTCATTTTTGTTCTTGTTTCCGTTTCAATGAACGATGAGATTGTATCATAACACAGAGACTGATAACGATATCTGGATGCGGACATCTACCACACGAGGAATGCCCGAGCGCCTTACTTGCTGCAATCTCACCCTTCATCACCAGAATTCTTTTGCAGAGACCTCACTCCAGCACCCCTCAATAGAAATACAAATACTCACCATTCCTTTTAGAGAGAATAGACAGCACCCTTTTTCCTATTTTCTTCTTCGTCGTCCCTCATTGAAATACTCACCCACAAGAACATTGGCGAAAAGGCTACTTCTTTGGGTGACAGTTTTTGAGAGCCGTTTCCAAATTGTTCTATTTAGTAACAACCCTGTAATTCCCCTTACTGAACCAAGGTGTTATTTCCCACCTAGTGTTGTGGAGATAACCTTATATTTGTAAATCTTTTTCGTTAGATTTTCAAGAGTTCATCAAGAAAGACACTTGTTCAAACTGGCTTAGTCATTTCCATTTCAGCAATGAATGAGAGATGTTTCAGATGAACAGAGTCAGAAATGAGACTAAAAATGAGAAAGATTTTGCATATTAAAACTTACAAAACAAGAAATATCTTCGTATCTCCTTGTGCCTACTAAATGGATAAAGCAATATCACATCACAAAAGTAGAATTGGTGATATTATGACAACTAAATTAGACCAGACAATGACATGACTGAGCATATGGCAACCACTCAGCTAAACTGTAAGATTAAGGATAAAAAACCCATACTTCTAAAAGAGACAGACAACCTATTCAATTCAATTCAATTCAATTCATTCCTTGGAGGATTTGTTAATGAGTGATTTGTGGATGTGGGGGATCACCCCTCCACCAGCAATGGTTCCTTTAATGAGTGTGTCCAGTTCTTCATCTCCTCTGATTGCAAGCTGCAAATGCCTTGGTGTTATACGCTTTACCTTCAGATCCTTGCTCGCGTTCCCGGCCAGCTCTAACACTTCTGCAGTCAGGTACTCCAAGATCGCTGCTGTGTATACAGCTGCTGTAGCCCCGACACGACCATTGGCGGCAACCCTTGTTTTAAGTTGCCGGTGAACCCTTCCCACTGGAAACTGTATCACCAAGCCATCCAATACCAAACCCCTCAACAACAATGAGAAAGTGTGAAAAAGTTCAAGAAAAAAAAGGGAAAGAAATTGCTTCCACTGTCTAAGCCATTTATATTTCAAAGATAACAAACAAAAATGGAGAATAACACATGTATGCATAACTTTCATACTAGTCCAAAAGTTAAACATCAAAATGCTACGAAGTCAATCTTTCATAATCTACAAATATTTTTTTGAAGTTTCAAAACGATACCAAAGCATTTTTGAATGCTACTTTATCTTATAGAAAAGTTATACATCAAACTGCTATAAATTCATCTAGAAATCACTTACAGGTAATTGTGCCTTATTATACCAAACAAGATGTGCAATAAAAAAATAGGTGATATTCTAATCATCCCACAACAGAGAAAATTTTTGCAGTATACTAAAAGGAACATACGCAGAGCAGAAGAACCCTATAAACCAACATTGAAAAGAAAGCATAAAAAAAGTGTACACAGAAAATGAGAAGCCATTAGTTCAGAAGATATACAGCAAAAAGGGCTAAAATGAAGCATCTACAAAAGCACCAGTTTCATCTTAAAATGTTTTCAAACGCCACATCTTCGTCTTTACGGGCCACGCTTTATCCACCCAGTCCATCAGAAGTTGCATATTGATCAAAATATAAAAAGTAGTTCTAAGAAGAAAACAAAAGGAAAGCAAGGAAAAATGGGTGGCAGAACTCAATAAAAGCATAACAAGATAGATATAATATATATGTAATATGCAACACTAGCTTCTTCTTCCTCCGTTACAGAAATCTGAAATTCCCTCACAAGGGATTTATATAGAAGCACAATTAAAGTCAGCACATTACCGGTTTTCACTTTAACAATTGTTAAACAGACACCACATGGCAGGAAATGATGGTTTCCAGTGGCTTAAAAACAAAGAATTTGGGGAAGAAAAGCTGTACATACTTGAGTGCGTTTTCCAAGACCATTCAAAACACAATTAAGAATCAATTTATTAAAAAAAAAAAAAATTAAAAAATTAAAAAATTATAAAAAAAAACAGACTTGCCAAGTCTTCAAACTTTTACGTCTGGGTATGTTACAGGGAAGACCTATAGTTGATGAATAACTGGAAATCAATTCGAAATTCCATATCAACGGAATCTAACCCCAAAATCCTCAATACATGGAATGACTACAATCAATGTTTGCATCATGTACGGTCTGGGAAATTTACACTCGTTCCATCATTTGATCCATTTATCCATTCAAAACTTTAGAATCTTCAATCAATGCCATTGGCATTCTAGGTTTGCAAGAACAGTTTTTTGTAGTTTTGGTTCGGGTCAGTTTGGTTCACTTTTAACCATTATTTGACCCGAACCGAACCGCTATGGTTCAGTTCAGTTCTTGATTTACCTGAACTGACTCATTATTTGAGTTAGGTTTCATTCATTTCTCATGCTATCTCTTTCTCCCCTTGATTCGCTTCCGAACTTACACTCTTTCTAGTCTATAATCTAAGTCATGGATCTCTCCCAATGGACATGGCAACCATCATTTTTTTAAATCAAAATCTCAATAGTCGTTCTCACATCCGGGCACAAACGAAAACAACAGGATCTCCGCTTCGAAGGCAACCCAAGCATGGTTTTCTTCTTCAACTGCAAACCAGACTAGATTTTCTCAATCTGAAGCTTGCTTTACCTATTTCACCAAGCCACACCTTTTTTTTTCTCTCTCTTTCTTTCTTTCTATCACCCAACACAGATCTATCTTTAGGTTCAACCCACTCATGATTTGAGTTACGATTTGGATAATGTTGTAGTTTTATGATGTTGAGGATGGTGGTTTGAACGAGGGAAGAGGAAGAGGGGAAATATGGAAAGGGAAGGAGGAGGAAATTGAAGATTGAGAAATTAAGATGGATTTTGTGGGAAAAGAAGAAGATTGATTGATACAAACATTTGGTCAGGTTTGGGAAGAAAAAGGAATGGGTAAAGGAGATGGAGAAACCAAGATGGAAATGGACTGGGTGGGGAAAAAAACATGAGTGACTCGACCCAACCTACTTTTGTTCAAACATGAATTGAGATGGGTTTCTTCTCTAAATCGGAATGGCTCAGATCGGATTTCTACAAAAACTGACCTAAACCAATCCACTTCACCCCTAACGAAGGATGACCAACAACTTCTAGTGCACCACTGTTGTTAACTCAATAGATTTCTAGCCATATTTATCAACGATGATCCTATGCCACTATCAATTTTTATTCTATCAAATATCTTAACAACCTTTACAAATCAAAGCTGTGTTTTTCAAACTCAAAATTCCAATTTCAAGACCACCCGAGTTCAAAGGAGTAAGAGACAATTTTCACCATCCACATATGGACCTTCCCAATAAAAGTTCATGATAATTTCTTCAATTAATACCACGGTGGTAGAGAATTTATTAAAAAAATGTACCGTACAATAACAACTTCTTGGTTTATTGGTCGAGGGCACGGCAATCTGTGTTCCTGGGCAGGTCATGAGCTCAAGTTTTGGCTAATGTGAAATCTAAAAAAAGGTAATGTACAAGAATATTGGTTAAAACAGCTTGGATCCCTTTAATCTCCTATTTCGAGAAATGGAAGTTTCTATTACCATAACTTTCTACAACTTCGTCAGTCACTGGGTTCCAGAGTTCCACAAATTCTGGCTATCCTCCCCAAGAGAAACTAAACACAGGCAAAGAAAAAACTTAACATGAAAGATTTAGAGTATATTTCAGACAATGAAGACCAACAATTGCTGCCTAAGAAAAAGTAGCCATATCCCCTAATCAAACAAAATTTTTGCAAAACATTGACCATATGCCGGAAACTTTTCCTCATTATCAAAGAAAAACATGTCTGTAATAATTCAACTGGGGCACTATTTAGACCTGTACCTTCCTCTCTTGATTGAGAGAGATTTTGTTTTGTAATCATAAACCCCACCACCAATACCATGACATATGTCTCCATACAATCCACCTTCCATCCTTATTTTGAATGAAAGAGAAGGATTAAACTAAAAAGGAGCTACTAAACACAGAACAAAACTACTTGAAAAGACTCTAGTTACTAAGAGTAAAAAGAAAAAGATAAATGATAACAGGTGCTACTTGTAAATGACCTAAAGAGAGCCATAACAGTGAGCCAAGACCCACATCACTCCCCAAGACCCTCTTACCCTGAAAATTCTTGTGTTCGAAATTCCTCAAGAGCAAGACTTTCATAAGATGGCCAAAAACGCCCCCTACCAGAAGAATCGCATGAAAGGGCAATAATGTGTAGCTCAAGTCAAACTAAAGAGAGTTTTTTTTTCCCTTTTAATTATAAAATCCACCTCCATATGAAAAGGTTTGAGAACAACACATAAACAACCAAGAAAACACATAACAATGCGTAAAACAATGAGTAGAGTGGCATGGAGTGGATGTCCAATTGAGAACATGTGGGGAAAAAGGAATGCAATAGAAGCAAGACAAATAGTTGATGAAAATAAAAACGAGTCTAAAGGAAGCCTACGCCAATGACAAAAGGTGTGGTTGGAACTAGAACTGTAAAGGAAGAGAGGTCCAACAAATGCTAAACGAAGTATCATTGAAGATGTAGCAAGGGCGTGAGCTTAAGTGGGCCTTGGACTTGTGAAGTTTCGGACACAATGCCGAATTTAAAGTAATTGCTGAGAATCTTTCTCTACCAAAAGAAGAAAATAATACAAGTGCCATGGCCATGATGAGTTCTAGCGCTAGGTGTTATATATACTAAATTATGGACTGCACTTATTGTTACAAATTATTGGCAACAACCAACTGTGTTTCAAATATCTAGGAGGATTTACCCAGGAGCAGTGGCTTGAATTTTTCAACAAAAAGGAGTGGAGAAGGGAGAAAAACTTGTTGACACTTCAATTTTTCTCTATATACAATTATTTAATTTTCCACAGGAGAACCTCTTGGTCAAATACACCTTGAGGATAAAGTGAAAGCATATTAGTCATTGACTACAGAGTAAGTCACTAAATGGTGATTAAGAATTTTCCTCAGTTTCTCAAATTACTTGGGATAATCAACTGTAATTCATATTTTCGAGTTCACAATAAAACTTTTAGTGGAATTTTCAAGTTTCTATAACTCTAGCGCTAGGAAAAAGACTAAGTACCATGTAAACGAACAAGATATATAAAGACCTACTGTGAACCCATGCATTATGATCTTGAAAGTTCTAAACATAAGAATGGTCAAATCCCAATCCATCTCCAGTATATTGACGTGAGATCCCACATAGGTTGGAGAGGAGAACAGAGGAGAACGAAGCATTCTCAATAAGGGTGTAGAAACCTCTCCCTAGCAGACGCGTTTTAAAAACCTTGAAGGAAAGCCCGGAAGGGAAAGCCCAAAGAGGACACTATCTACTAGCGGTGGGCTTGGGCCATTACAATTGACTTGCATCATCTTTTCGACAAACAACTTCAATAGCATGAGAAAGAGATCTTGTATGCATACTTTGCACTTGCACATACCATATCATACTAGTGGTAGGCTTGGGACGTTAGACTTTCTTTCCAGCCATTTCCAGCCATTTCATCCTTCGACAAAAGAACATTGGCGGCAAGGCAACTTCTTCAAGCACAGAACAACAATAGCAAACCGACACTAGCTAAAGGAACACAGACCCAGAAACATGCACCTACTTCTAACATCAAAGAGAAAGACTTAGAGGTACCCCTCCAGAGATTCTCCGAGAGCCACCTCCTAAACGTCGATCTCACACTCTTACTGCTCCAATAACCACAGCTCATGAAGAAAACGAACTTATCAAGTTATTCAATAAACAGGAAAACAAGACGCGCGGGTGGAAAAATAGGACCCATCTGAAATAAACAAATATAAACTTTCAAACACAAAATTTTAAAGTTTTAGAAGAAAAAAGACACCCAATGTTCAAATTCTAAGGCTTGGAAACCTTGAAACGCATCTATGTTAGAAAATTTGTGGATTTCTAAAGTGAAAACCGGCATAAACCTCAAACGAACACAGATCCACAGAAGACACACCAAAGGAAGGTAGAAAAACAAGTACTGAAGTGTATAGAAAGAGAGAGACCTGGAGACCGGCGCGGGAAGAGCGAGAAACGGGCTTCTTTTTATCCTTATCCTTGTTGTTGGAGGCAGATTTGCCCATTATCAGACCCTTGGCTCCCTTCCCCGACATTTTGAAGCCCAAGAATTAGGGTTCCTCTCACTTCCAGTGACGGATTTTTACAGGAGAAAGAAAAAGAACCGATAAGGAACGAGGGGAAGCGAGGTAGATAAAAGTAATGCCCCCAACCCCCCAACCCCCCCTCTTCGATAACTCCACGAAGACTTGCAGATTCAGCTTCTCTCAGCCCACATTTACCGAAATACCCTTCCTTTTTCTTCTTCAAAAATAAATATTAATTTATTTATGTAAAATTGTTTTAAAATATGAATTCAATTAAAAAATGATTTAACTATTATAAAGTATTTTTTTAATTTATTTGGTTCACACCCTACAAATATTTGTTAGATTCAGGTCCACTTCGGCCTTTAGGATAAGGTTATAATTAAATGTATTTTTAAATAATTATAAAGAGAATTTTCAAATGACTTAAAAGCATATATTTTGAAACAATAATCTTAATTCATAGGGTTGTTGATATGACCCGATAATCGGACCAATTTAAATTGTCCAACCCAAGTCATTGATGTTGTGTTGGGTTAGATTTTTTTAAAACAAAAAATTCAGTTCAGTTAGCAACTTCACATTTTTTTTTATCGAATCAACCTAACTAACCCGAAATTTGGGTTACAACTCAATCTAATCATACTTTTAAAAAAATATCAAGAATATTTTTGTTGGTAAAAATGTTGTAGTTTGATAACTGATCACTCAAATATATAAGTGATGTGTTGTAAGTTGTAAATATTTGATATTTTAGCTATTAATATAATCAGTGAGATTATTAAATAATTCAGAAAAAATAACTGAAAAATAGAAGGTTAAATTGGGAACTCCAACTCATCCGCGCGACATTTTAAGTTGGTCTACAAGAATTTTTCAACCCACCAATATACATGTGTGTTAATTTATAATTAATTTTTTTTGTTTATATCTTCTCGGAAAAATCTCTCACCTAAAATTGTTTGAGATTTAAATTTACAACTATAACATTTTAATGGTTGAGATAGGTTGAAATTGATTAATTGAATTTTGAGATTATATTAGAAGGAAATTCAAATTTATACCTAATTAACTAATTCGTTTAATTTTTACGAAATAATAAAAGAAAAAAGCGTGGGCCCAAGATGTCATGGTCAAATAACAGTTGGAAAAGTGGCTGAAAACCTTAAAAAAAGCGCACAAGTGGGACCGTGCCACATCACTCTCTACGCACCCCGCCTAAACCTTATCCATTTTGTTTCCTCTTATACCCTTCCAGTCAACTCACAGTCACCATTCCGTACCATTGTTATAATTATTAATGTTAATTTCGAGTTTTTTAAATCTGTGGAAGTATTAATTTTATTAATTTCTGAATTTTAAGTAATATTTTGTTTCTTTATAAACTAATATTTTAATGTCTAATAAATACTTCATTATTTTAATAATACCTTTAAACTTTAATTTTTTTAATATACTTCTACTCCTAAGTAAGAAAAAATATTATTTATTTTTTAATTAACCATCCTATTAGAGAGTCTATAATTTGATAATTAAATTATAAATTTGGTATTTATGACTTTGAGTCTATCATTTTTAAATAAGATTTTTATGAAATTACATTATAATATTTTAAATTGTAAGGACTAACGGGTAACTTTCACCAAATTATGAGGGTTAATTTTGTAATTTAACAGGTACGACAGGATCAGACGATTTCACGTGGTTCTGAAGCACCCGATGAAAACTCTCCTCCACTCCCGTTAAAAAGAGTCGTCCCTGTGACTTTGACAATTTATCCCCCCCTTCCAATCCCTAATTTTCTGCTTCTCTCATGGCGACCAATCTTCCCGTTTTCCATGTCGCTCCGATACGGGCTTCGTCATCTGGAAAATCCGAACCTAATCGCCGGAAGGCTGCCGCGCCAAAGTGGTGGTCACCGATCTTCGGATGGTCCTCCGAGCCGGACTACATCGGTTCTTCCGCCGCGGATCAGCCTGTTCAGAATGCCGATCCAGAGCTCGACGGCGGACGAGCGAAATCCAAATTCCTGCCAGGCTGCTTCACGGAGGAGAAGGCAAAACTGCTCCGGATGAAGACGCTGGAGAGCTCTACTTTTCATGACATTATGTATCATTCAGCAATCGCGTCGCGCCTCGCCTCCGATTTGTCGGACCGAAGCAAGGAATAGATCTACGAAGCTGAGCGCAGTGAGGTATTGTATTATGTTTTTTGAAATCTGTATCTGTACTGCCTTCATTTGCAAATCGTCGTCACAAAAAATTTGGGGAAAGGATATGAAGCTTACTTTCCCAATGAATTTACCTCTTACTTTTGACTTTTAGATTGTGTAGATTGCTGAAACTTTAAACCTACTGTAATTTTTTTGCGTCTGATTATTGATCGACGACGATTGTTTAAGCATTGTGTTCTTGTTACAATCACAATCAATTCATAGAAACGGTTGTAGATGAATAATACATCTTGATCTTGACCGGCCTTGAAATCTACGCCGACCGTTGTGATTTAGTAGAACGCTAGAAATAATTATCAGATGTGTAGCCCTTGCCCTAACGATTTCTTCTCAGATCCATTCAATGAGATGTTTGGTGAATCATCTCAAGTGAATAATTTGAAGAATTTTTTAACATCAGATCGTCGCTGTTTAGGTCATGTTCTTAATTCGACTATTCAGAAAATGAAAAGGAAATGAATTATGTAATTGAATCCAAACTTTTTTGTTGTTCTGTGAAACGATCAAGTTTTGGATTAGACAAAATCTTGATTAATGAGGGAGAGATTACAATTTTTTTTCTGTGAGAATTGAAAATTCTTAAATTGTTTGAATTAAGAATGCTACAGAATCTGATAGGAGCGCTGTATAATGTGTATATACTAATTAAATTAATGATAAATAATGATTCTCTAGATTAAATAATTCGGTCAGTTCTTTCCAAATCCCACCAAAAACAGATAATTAGGAATCTGGATGACTCACCTAAACGAATTAATGATAGATTAATCGAGTATATCCATTTTTTGAAGCGTGGCTAGATGTTGGGTAAAGAATTTTGTACGGTCCATTTTTTTTTATTTAAAATTTTTGGTTCTAAACATATTCAATATAATTAATTCAATCCATTAGGCAATATTTTGAATTCATTGACTGTTTGAGTCAATTCCTGGTACAGTAGAAACAAGATAAAAAAGTTGGGATAATTTTCTTAAATTTACAGAAAAGTCTAAAAATTACCTTTGGAGGAAAACTATTAGTATATTTAAATATTAATAGTGTTATAAAAAATATCTTAAATTTTTTTAAAAATTATTAATACCCTTCAATTTTGTTAAAAAAAAAAAAGTAAAAATTTATTAATACCATTCAACTATTAGTATAATAAAAATATTAATAGTATTTTGAACTTTAATCAATATCCTTTTTTTTTTAAGTTTTTAACTTTAAAAAAAAGTTAAAAAATGTTAATACTACTCGTATATTATCTTCAAACATTTTAATGTTACTTTTGAAACGTGGTACTTGTAGTAAGGGTATTTTTAAATTTTTTAAAAAAGATTTAAAGGTATTTAAAAAAATTTTAAAATATATTTAAAAGTATTTTTTAAGTTTTAAAAAAATTTAAAAATATTGATAAAACTTTTGAAAATTTTGAAAAATATTTTTGAAAAGATGTAGTTAAAAAATATCTTGGTAGTTGAAAGATATGGTTTCAAAAGTTAAAAGATATGTTTGAAACCTTAAAATATATTTTTTAAACAAAATATTAAAGATTTCAATTATTTAAAGTTGATATTTTTTGGACTTTTATTTAACTTTTTAAGTGATTATTGGAATTTTTAAAAATTTAAAGTTTCATAAATTGGACTTTACATAAGTATTATTATATCTTATCTTATCTTTCCTTTCTTCTATTGTTCATTGTTTCATAACACATTAACAACACGAGTCTACCATTTATTTTGATAAAGGTCCGTTTTTTCATTTTGTTTTTTTTTTGTATTTATACACATACAATTTTTATGGATTGAGATAGTTATTATTCACAAAGTTCATTAGCACTTGAGGTTGCAAGATTTTAAGTGAGTTCAAGTCACAAGGAGAAATAATTACCTGTGAAAATATGTTCAAGAAG